TAAACATCACAGCTTGTTATCAAAACAGTTGGAAAACTCTATGTTTTCAAGGGAAAAAAAATACTTCAGTCAAATTTATATTTGCATACAGAAAAAAAATGTATTACACAAATCAATATGATTTAGTAACTTAATATTTATGGTGTTAAACCAACTGTGCCCCAGTGCTCCATAACCACTGCTTTCTGTATGAAGTTTGGGCAGCTACATGGGTACGCTACCTCTATATTGACACTACAAAGTCCCTTCTTCATGGCGCCTTTGTATTTTTACACAGAACCAAACAATGGTGACTTCATGACACTCACGTGTGTGATTTTACACAGCATACTGGCATTGCGGGATCAAAACAGGCATGACAGGTGTGACATTTAACACAACAGCACTGGTCCCCCTTGTGTGACATATAGTGTCACAGCCCTATATAAATTACAATTACAATGGCCTAACATGGCAATAACAGTCATTTACCATGCGTTATATGGCGGCCGATCTCGTCCTCTGCTCGGAGGGTAAGGAGCTCCTGGACCTCACTGTTTCCCCAATTTGCGGAAATTTTCTGCCGCTGTTCTTCCTCTTTGAGTTAGCTGCTAACTAGTATCAGCTATTTTTTAAATCTCTCGTGGTGGGTTGCAACTTGTCATCAAAACGTCACACTTGTACTGCCCATGATCCCACCCTGCAGCCACAGAAACCCCTAAAGCTCAGTACCAGAACCGACCTGTTACCCGTCACGATGTCTAAGTCACCTGTTGACACCAGTGATTAAACACACACAGGCTACAGTTACTCACATTAGGCTGAGTTCTCTGTACTTGAATATACAAATCCAGCAGAGGAAAAGTCTTTTTCACTGACTGCGCTTGATGCTCAAAAACAGTCTGTGAAATCACTGCCAGGTTAGGAAACATTTTAGCATGCTCGTTCCACCACCATAAAACCTCAAAAGGATCCTCCTTGGGTGTCTTGAACTCAATTTAGGCTACCACCTCATCCTCAGGCTGCATAGTTTGATTAGTGGAGCCCTCCACGTTGGTGATGAATGTGATGACAGGGTCAAAGGTTCGACTTGTGCCATTGACTTTCAAAATAAAATGAATTGCAGTTGATAATAGTGATTTAGATGTCAAAATATTACACACATAAAACACATCTTTTGTCTTTTGTTTTATTTGTTTTAAACAAAAAAATATATTTTCGTTTTCACCCGCTGCCTGCCCATGTGTTGTTAATTCTTACCAGTGTCCATGGATATATTTTTACCCATTACATAACTTTTTGCGAGGTTACCTGCACAGGTGCAGAACTCTGCCTTCGAGGCCAGCTTAAATGTGAGACAACTCTATCCCCAAACTTAACTACCATCCTCTGTATTTTAAGGCCAATACCTGGTCTGGCAATGTTAACGAAAGTGAAAATAAATTATGTGTCCATCCTGTGATTCAGATCCGCTTCAAAATTTAATAGGTTACTTCTTGGCTAATACTATATTCTGCTAACAATTTCCATAAAAAAACCTGGACAGAAAAACTGAACTGAAAACATAACCTCCTTAGCAGAGGTTATCATCATTTACTAGCTAATAATTTTGACTTAGTATCCCTTACTTTAAATTTATAATAAATATTTCTAATTTTATAATGCATACGTTGTCCTCTTTTTTTTCCAGGCAGAAATGGACTTTCATACTTATCACAATTAGTCAAATATTTAATTTGAGGGAACCTTGCAATCACCATCACCAGGAAGTACTGTCTAATATATGCTCATATATTTTACTCTTAAATATAGATATTACAAATCCAGTATCACCAATTTAACTACTACTACTACTACTACTACTTTGTAGAGTGCGGAAATGGTGACCTGTCAGTTGTGGTTGGCCTGCAGTAGAACAGCCTAACTGTGCTGTGCACTATTTTTGACTACATAGTAATGTGTTTCCATGGACAGCCCTTTCAATGTTGAGCTATTAACTACAGCATATAGGTCACACACACACACTCACACACGTTAACTGCATGAAGAACGTCAGGCTGCACACGTAAGTGGTAGTCATTGCCCTTTGAAAAGCCTTCCCTTCTGTTCCACCAATCACATTGTGTCCTACTTCATAGCTTTGCGCACCTCGTCTCCGCACAGGAGTCCATCTATAGAAATTACAGCAACACTGAATTCCCTGCTGATATGATAATTCACTATATTCAAGCACTAGAAACTGAAGTAAAATTAGTCATCTCTCCTCTTTGGGTGAGAGTAACCTCAGAGCAAGCAGATGAATAACTGGCTGATTGATTAAGAGCTTCCAAGACTCAAATTAAGATAATAACAATGTGCAGCACTAGTGCTTATTGCTGGTCCCTGCCATGCATTTAACCTGCATTTATCAGGCACTAACATTGTGGCTGTCACTGCAATCTAATATTCTTACATGCTGTTCAGTCAGATGTGACAGGCAGATTACTCCTTGCACCTTCTGTTGATTGAAAACAAAATCTGAATGTGTGATTTGAATGATTCGCCCTGTGGGCAGAGCTGTTGTGCAGCAGGAATTCAATACAGTATGCAGTACATGCAGTTAACTGTTAACGTGTTGATGGTCTGCATCTGCGATCTAACGCTTCCTGTTCTTATGCTCAGATGTATATATTTAATGAAACACAAAAGAAAATGCAGGAAGTCTTCATTCCTTTATCATTTCATACCCATTGATACTTTGCTTGAGTGCTTTATAAAACTGCAGTTCGGTCATCTGTCACACAGTGAATCTAAACATTACAGTCAATATGGGCCCCTGACCTCCAGACCCCCAGGGGCCCATATTGGCCATTTTAATTTCATCTGGTTGGTAGTCCAGCATTGCAATCTAAAAACAATGACGCAATAAAACAGAAGATTTGTGTGGCTGAACTGTTACATCATCTGGACAGAATAAGCAAGAGAAACTATGAAAGCCGCAGGGCTTATGGTGTTTAGACCACATCACACACGCACGCACGCACACACGCACGCATGCACACACACACACACACACACACACACACACACACACACACACAGTCCGTGATCAACATTCAAACACACTAAAGCTGCATATAGCCAGTAAAGGTCAACACGACACAAGCTGTCTGATGAGAAGGGATGGGTTGGGATGGGTGTGTGTGTTTGAGGTGGAGCGGTAGAGGGCTGTTGGCAGTACAGGGTAGTGGGCAGGAGGGCTGGGTTGGGGGCACACACCTTTACAGCAGGCTGAACCCATGGCGGCCAGTCGAGAATCCAGGCATAAAGACGTCCCATCCCCAAATCCACAGCAGCAACAGCACACAGCAGACAGAGACAGAACAAAGATGTCCAAATACGAGGGGACGGTGGCGCCTGAATACCTGAGCACCTTTGCCCTATCCTGGTTCCAACTCACAGTCGCAGCCGAGCCCTTGTGGTTGGGGTTGGAATGGTGTGAAGGAGGAAGGAGGAGGGAGGTGGGGGTGTGTAGCAGATGTGGACACCAACAAGGCTTTTTTGAGGGTAATCCTGCACCACTGCTGTGTCCCATTTAGCCCTTCACCAGGTCGCTGCCATGTAATGCTGCCTGCTGGTGGGTGGTGTCCATGAGAGAGGGCAACAATTGCAGGATTACATCTTTAGATTAGATTAGATTTCTCTCTCTCTCTCTTCATTCATTTTCTCCCTCAACTTCATCTTTCTCTGTCCTCCTTTATATATTTATTTGTTTGTTCATCTTTTCTCATTTTCTCTGAGGCCTCATAATCCCCCAGCTATCTCTATGCACCACTCCAAAGGCTCCGTGTTCATTCACGTTGACTGGAGACATTTTCTGTTTTCAGTCAACATTTATTGCATAAACATCCACAAAACAGTTGTAAGCAGCATGCAGAAAAACCTATTTAGTCTTATATATTATTTCATATGTATATACTGAAATTGTTTTAATCATTTAAATGCTTTGTGGTTGTTTGCATGGCTTTGAATCTGAAAATGTCATTCCATCAGGTGTTAAATGGGAGCTGAGAGTCTGTTGCCATCACCAATCTGCCTCTCCAGAACTTAATAAGTGATTAAGTGGCAACTAAGCAACGAAGGTAATAAATAGAAAGATTTAAAAAAAAATAAACATGGAATTTGTTCAAAAATTGTTTTATTTTTTCATTTTGTATGTTTGTGAGAAATCTTTCTCATCTTCTCACCTCCCTCTCGTTCCTCTCACACAGACAAAGAGTGAAGTAACTCTCAGACACCATATA